TTGCAACACTTTTTTAAAGCCTTTATGTGCAAGCCGTAGAGTGCGGCGTTGTTGAAGTATACGTCTTTATTAATTTTATGAAATTCAGGTGAAAATGTCCACATTAGAAGCAGACACCGTGCTGTACAGCATATTGGCATTGGTCATCATTGAGAATGCACTGGAAATCTATATAGCCGTACGCCAGGTGAGTCAATATGGGCGTATGCCGGCACGTGCCAGTATTTTAAGGCGGCAATTAATGTTTGCTTGTATTTTATGATGCATCTGTGCACGTACATACGTGTTGATATATATATATATATTTAGCGGCACGTTAAATGTCAACCAAGTTCGTTGATTGCCATAGCAATTGTTGTTAATGAAACGCACTCTCCCTCTGCCTATCCCTGACTCGCAGGTGAAAGTCTATCGCAGTGCGTTGACTGTGCCCAATGAGCTCAAGGCGCACATGAGCGAGGAGACGTTCCATAAGGCGCGCAAATATGGCCTGGATCAGGAGAACTTTGGGATATTCAAGGCGCTGCTTATGGATGTGCTGCTGCTCTGCTTGGAACTCTATGTGGGACTTATTGCGTTGATCTGGCAGCTGTCGTTGAATGTGGTCGAACGTCTGCACTGGGACGCCAGCAATGAGATAGTCGTCAGTCTGGTTTTTGTCCTAATCTCGAATGTGTTGTCCACATTCAAATCGCTGCCGTTCAAGCTGTACAAAATCTTTGTACTGGAGGAGAAGCATGGCTTCAATAAGCAAACGGCAGGCTTCTTTGCCTGGGATCAACTGAAGGGCTTCCTGGTCACACAAGTGGTTATGCTGCCCATTACGGCGGCCATCATATTCATTGTGCAACGTGGCGGCGATAATTTCTTCATCTGGCTGTGGATCTTCACTGGCGTCATATCGCTGGTGCTGCTCACCATTTATCCGATCTTCATTGCCCCGCTGTTTGACAAGTACACGCCGTTGGAGCAGGGCCCGTTGCGCAAGTCAATTGAGGATTTGGCCGCATCACTTAAGTTTCCGCTAACGAAGCTATACGTGGTTGAGGGCTCCAAGCGTTCCTCGCATAGCAATGCCTATTTCTACGGCCTGTGGAACTCCAAGCGTATTGTGCTATTCGATACGTTGTTGCTGAACAAAGGCAAGGCCGACGATTCGGAGCTGACGGATGATGAGAAGGGCAAGGGCTGCACGGATGAGGAGGTGCTGGCAGTGTTGGGCCACGAGCTGGGCCACTGGAAGCTGGGACATGTGACCAAGAATATTGTCATTATGGAGGTGCATCTGTTGCTCATGTTTCTAGTCTTTGGCTATCTGTTCAAGTATGCACCCTTCTATGAGGCACTCGGCTTCCAGCCCGGCACACGACCCATACTCGTCGGTCTATTGATTGTCTTCACGTATGTGATGGCACCCTATAATGCGATCATAAACTTTGCGATGACCATATTGTCGCGTCGCTACGAATATCAGGCGGATGAGTTTGCCCATAAGCTGGGTTTTGAGCATCAACTGGGCCGTGCACTGATCAAGCTCAATTTGGATAATTTAGGTTTTCCTGTCTACGATTGGTTGTACTCCACCTGGAATCATTCGCATCCCACGCTGCTGCAGCGTCTGGCACGCCTCAAAGAGCTGGGCCAGTCACAGAAGAAGGTGCAGTAAATGCCAGGGCAAGTTGCCCCTTCAAGTTTCTAGACCAAAGCATTTAGCTTCTCACACTCTCTCTCTCTCGCTCCGTATTGTATCGTATTGTAGTAGCCCCTTGTTTAGTTGTATATTGTGTAGATTTCAATAAAGCAAGCGATAGCCAGGACTTTGAAAACGAAAACAAAAATGTATATGAAAAATTCTAAAATATGTATATCGTATGTATTTGGCTAAAATGTCAAATTTAAGTTGGGGGCACAAACAATGACTGGCTCCTTCTGGAACGATCCCGCCATTATACTCTATCTCCTTATAGTCGTACTGGTCGCGGATAGTCTCTGGTCGCTGTATCTGCTGCTGCGCGAGGTAATAATGCCATATTCATATGCCATATGCCATCCAGTCCAAACTGTGCCCCTAAAATCTCTCTTGCAGATCCTTATTGTCTATGATGTGCCCCAAGTGCCGGGGGTGCTGGGTCCATATTTATCACAGGAATTGTTTAACAAAATGCGCACATACAAGCTACACAAGAGCTGGTTCATCATAGTCAATACGCTATTTGTGGTCATCATTTGCGGCTGCCTTGAATTGTATTTTGGCTTCTATGCGTTCGTTTGGCGCGTGGCCGGCAAATGCGTTATCTGGGATTGGATGAAGCACGAGGTGTGCCTGTCCATCATATATGTGTTCCTACTTAGCATTTACATCACAATCAAATCTCTGCCGGGTCACATCTATGAGAGATGGTGCATAACCAGCCTGGTAAAGCGACCCAAGACGAGGTGGTTGCATCGCATTCTTTGCGATATTCTCGACACCATCTGCTCGCTGCTGTTGATGGCATTGGTGGTCAGTGTAGTGGTCCTGATGGTGCAGTTTTTGGGTCAGTATGCCTTTCTGGGTCTGTATGCGGCTGCCGTCATGCTGACCGTGGTGGTCATTTTGCTGGTGCCGTGCATCATTGATCCGTTCATTGGCAAACGTGTGCCGCTCGAAAATCTAGCACTGCAAGCGGATCTGGAGTACCTAACTGCTCGCGTCAGGTTTCCCATTCGTCAGGTCTACATCATACGCGTTCGGGATCCCAGTGTCGGCAGCAATGCCTTCTTCTATGGGTGCTGCTGCCTGAAGCGCATTGTGATCTTTGATACGCTGCTGTTGAATCGTGGCCGGCACAGTCCCGCCCAGATGCCGGCGGAAGACCAGGGCAAGGGCCTGACCAATGCGCAGGTGGTCGCTGTAGTTGCCCACGAGCTGGGCCACTGGAAGAATGGGCACTTTTACAAGGCGATTGTGATGTTCCAAGTGCATTTATTGCTGACCCTTCTGCTCTTTATCATCTGTTTTCCCCATGGACCCATCTATCAGGCGGTTGGCTTTGAGCCGGGCCTACAGCCAATCGTTGCCGGATTTATCATCATTTTTGGATTTGTGCTGACGCCATATTTCACTATCTCGAATGTGCTAATGCTAACGATGACGCGCCAATTTGAATATCAGGCAGATAAGTTTGCCTTCACGCTGGGCCATGCCATCCATCTGAGGCAGGCGCTGCTCAAGCTCTATGCGGATAACTTGTCATTTCCGATATCGGACGGCTGCTATTCCAGTTGGCATCATACGCACCCAACAATGCTGCACCGTCTGGGGCGCTTGGAGCAGCTCGAGGCGTCCAGATCCTGAACAAAGTAGCTTCGCATACATCTGTTATCTGCCATTTAGCTGCCATTTTTCGAGTATAAATATATACACATACATTGACATACTCGTATATGTGTGCTATCTTCATTGTTGATTGTTTTCTTTGTCATTATTGTTGTTTGTTTTGGAAACATGATCTTATCCTGAGCGATGGTATTCTACGACACTTGGCCGAAGCTAGAACCGCGCCATCTGCTTTATATACTGATGCTGGTGTTATTCATTGATCACATATGGGAAATAATCTTGGCCAAGCGACAGGTGAGTTGTCATTGATGTGGGTTACTTTCGCCAAGCTCTCACCGATTCCCTAAACGTATTTTTGTCCAGTAGCAACTGACCTGCCTGGGCGCCATTTTGGTGCCGGAGGAGCTGCGTGGCATAATACCGCCGGAAATCTATCATCGCGCCCGCATCTATGAGCTGCACAAAATGGAGTTGGTCATCTGGAAGCATGTCATGGATATGATAATTAGTTTATTGGAATTGTATTTTGGCTTCTATCCGTTTGTCTGGGGTCTGGCCACCAGCACCCTGGCCAGCCTGACCAGCGAAGAGGTTTGGATTAGCCTGATCTTTGTATTCTACTTGACCATCTATATAACGCTGCGTTGCCTGCCCGTGCTGCTTTACGACAAGTGCATATTGGAGCTGCGCTACGGGACACAGCAGCGTTTTCCCTGTTATATATACTTTTGCATGGGCCTATTGTCCATTGTCCTCTCACAGATCATCCTTGCACCTTTGACCATGCTGATTGTGTTTAGTGTTCAGTCGCTTGGTTATTATTTTTTTCTATATTTCTGGGTATTGTGGGCTCTGTTCACGATATTTTTGGTCTTCTTTCTGCCCTACCTATGCATTCCATGCATTGGTCATCAGCGTCGCCTGCCGCCGGGCACCACCCTCTATGCGGATATCAAACAAGTCTGTGATGTGACCAGATTTCCCATGTCTCGTGTCTTTATTATCAGAACCAAATCGATGCAGTATAGCAACGCCTATTTCTATGGCAGCTGCTGCCTGAAGCGCATTGTCATCTTCGATACGCTGCTTTATAATAAGGGTCTGCCCATCCAGGAGCTGCAGCCCTACGAGGTGGGACGCGGCCTGAGCAATCCACAGGTGGTGGCCGTTGTTGCCCATGAGCTGGGCCATTGGAGGAAGGGACATTTCTATAAGGCCACATTAATAATGAAGGTGCACTTCCTGCTGACCATGGTGCTATTCGGCCTGCTCTTCCACTGCCCGCAGCTGTATCAGGCAGTCGGATTTGTGCCGGGCCTGTGTCCAATTATTGTCGGCTTCATTATTGTGCTGCGCTTTGCGATGACGCCATACCTGACGCTGGCCAATTTTCTGATGTTGTGGAATTTGCGCCGTTTCGAGTATGCAGCGGATCGCTTTGCCCACCGATTGGGCTACTCCATGCAGCTGCGCCTGGCGCTGATCAAGATCTATGCGGATCACATGAGCTTTCCGGTCTACGACAGCTGCTATGCACGCTGGCATCACACGCATCCGACCATATTGCAGCGCCTGGCCTATCAGCAGCGCCTGGACACGGAGGCCTACTACAATGACTAGCGAAGCAATCAGAGCTCTCTTTTTTTCTCTATAAATTTTAAGTTTATTTTTTTTTTTAGTAGCCAGTGAGATTAGTTTCGTATTTGTTGTCGTTTTTTTTTCTCTTTTTGTAATCATTTGTAAAAATTCGCTCGAATTTCAGTTACGGAAGCAAATTACTTATTAAGCGGCCATGCCCCTTGGACGCATCACCAAATTGAATGTTAACATTGACAAGTGGTGAGTGAAGCGATCTTGAGTCTTGTTTTATGTGAAATCTCAATCCTCCTCTATCCCGTTCACAGTCAGACGCATATCTCGTATGAAGACTATTCCACGCGTTTTGTCATGAACAATCCGTCCGGATTTGTTTTCCGCAGCAAAGGCAACGCCAATTGTCGCTGCTGCCAGGACTGTGCCAGCCAGGCTGTCGGCTTTCTCAAACGCCATTTCGGATTGGGCGGCAGTATCACAAAGACGCCTTCCCTATGTAATTTGCTTTTAACTGTTGGTCTTGACGAATACGCATTTATCGAAGTGAGGCACATCGAGGAGCCGTCGGTTTCGGCGAATACGAGCGAACACGAGCAGAGCCAGCTGCACACCTGGCACATGGAGGAGTTGCCTCTGGTATTGCCGCAGCGTGCCACCAAATTGGAAAGGATCAAGGGAAAGCTGCAAGTGTTATCTCTCGCTTGGCATCTGGACAGCTGCAAGTGCCGAAATTTCACCGCCAACGATTATGCGCTGCCCAAATGGTACGTTTATATACCATTCCGGCAAACGGTTTTCAATATTATTGTTATTGGCTCGTGCGAAATTAAAATCTATCTGCACTACCTGGAGAGCCCCCGTATTCAACCAGAGAATTTTAATTTCCGCAATCGTCTAAAATAATATTTTATATAGAATCTTTCAAGAACAAACAAAGACTTGGAGTCAGTCAACTGAAAAAAGAGTTGTAATCAAGGTTTTTTCCAAAATTTCCCATCCCTTTTGGTAGTAATATAGAAGGCTATCAGTTGCAGTTTTCCATATTCCACCTAAGCCAGTGGATTTTTGAAAAAGTGTGAAACCCGTCTTCAGGGTATTTTTACAAAGATCGTAGGAAATTACTTAAAAGCCAAGCGGCAGGAAACAAAGAGTTTTTCTACAACCATTTCCACCAATTTTCAACCCTTGCCGAGGAAATGTTCGAAAATCGCATCATAATTTTCATGTACATAAAAAGCAGTTAGGGTGTGAAAGACTTAAAAGTTATATAAGCTAGTCAGTTAATTTAGAATACAGTGAAAATTCTCATAACGGACAGTCAGATTAGGCGGACATCCCTTTTGGGCGGACATTTTCAGTCAAATTGTTGTGAATCAAGCAATACCCATACCCATAAAACGGACTCTTTTTGACTCAATTGTCTCTGTCCGTTTCAGAGAGTTTTCCCTGTATATACATAATTAGTTAGTTATCCATTAACACAATGTTTTACTACAAGCAGCCACTGTCTGAAGATCAAGGAGACCATGGACTATATAAACGAGGTGGTCGGCGAGATGCCCACGCAGGAGCAACAGGAGGAGGAGGCTTCCAAGAGTGATATTCGCATCATGCCCGATATGAATGCCAATATAATTGGGATCAATGCGCTGCTTCAAAAGCTAAGCGAACTGCTGGAGGAGCAGAACTATGAGCAGGGCAATGTGCCGCAATAGCTTGAACAAAAAGCAAACAATATCTTCCACGTGTCTTGAGATTGTGATCTATCGATAGTTTATTAAAACACACATTTTCATTTCATAGAATTTTTGCTTGACATATATGTATGTATGTAGGTTGTATATATATATATATATATATATATATATATATATATATATATATATATATATGACTATATATGTATATATATATATATACTATATATGTATATATATATATATATATATATATATATATATATATATTTAGAGTTGTAGTTTATAGTTAAAGTTTATAATGTATTTTGGTATCGTGTTTTTTTGAGAAAGTCCTTTCCGAAGCTGTTGTATGTATGATATATTCCATCTTAAACATTAGCATAGGTAAGATATATAATAAGTATATAAGTATATACGATATTTTTTGTTCTTTACTTGGCATTTTGTTGCATCGCACAGTTCTCTATAACACACATATATATATGTATATAAACATATACTGTTTTGGATTTATTCATAGATTACATACGAATTTTTCTGCGTTTTTGTGTTAAAGCTTAGTTAAACTTTTCTTTCAAATAGCTTGGAAATTGTGTTGGTTTTTAGAGGACAACTTTTATTTTGGCTATTTTTCTTTTTAAGTTGGGCAAATGAAAAGTTTTGCTAATCGAAAAATAGTTATGTACCAATAGTTGGTTTCGCGTATTTTCAATAGAGTTAGCACCTTGAGGAGTTTTAAACAATTTAAAGCAGATCAATTTTAGGCATAGCGCATATAGAGCAATTAGTTTCATTTTGCAATTAAAACCATTTATGGCAAAAGCTGTGTAGTTGTGTGTTCGCATTTGTTCTGTCCAAGCGCCCCCCCCTTCGAAAGCCGCCCCTGCCAAATGCACAAGCACAAGTACGACATGTGTTCAGTTGGGCTGTGAAGAGGGTGCTTCTCAGTTCTAAGTGGATTTTAGTTTTTCTCTTCCATATCAATTTTGTTTTTCTTGTTCCTTTTTTTTTTTTTTTGTTTTTTACCTGCCTCTGGACCGGGCGTCGTGCTCGAGTGCCAATTGGCAGCTGTTCATCGAGTGCTTTGATTGATGCTGGCCGACGCCTGCCTTTGGTAAAACTTATGCACTACAAAAACTGTTACCAGATACGATATAATACGATGAATACGATATTTCGACGAATATTGGATTATTCTTTCCAAAAATTAGGTAAATTGTCCAAAAAGAAACTAAGCAGAAAAATCACACGCATCAAAATATATATTCATTATACAGTACATTCATATATATATATATATATATGTATATATATATATATATATAATATAATATAATAATTATAATAAGTACACACAATTATTAACAACAATTATCTAAAAAATTCACACTACATAATTATATATAATATAATAATTTAAATTTCACTTTTTGTTATTTGTTTTGCAATAAATTGTTGAGTGTCTGCTCTTACGCTTAGCTACGTTTTAATTAAGTCAAAATTAAATTAGATTTTATTTATTTATTTTTTTTAAATATAAATAAATATGCATTATATATAGGAAATAGAAAATATAAATGTTACGAGTATTCTGGCTGATCAAAAATATTATTTTTTAAAATCGATGTACTGAACAATTTGTTTTTTTTCATTTATTTTTATGGCTGGTTTCGAGTTGCTTTGTCAAAAAGTAATTTTTACTGGTATTCATATTTGAAGATATTTTTTTTTTGCATTTTCTCAATTTTTTTTTACTTTACGAATACACATATATAATAAATTTGTTGTTTGCGTTTGGTTTTTCTGTAGTTCTTGGAAATAGACTTTCGATAGCTTAACATGCATAAACATTTAATTAATTTGAAACATTTAGTTTGAATAAGCTTTGTTGATTGTTATTTTAAGTTTAATTTATTTTTGTTGTTGTAAATTTTGTGGAGAATTTTAGCGCTTTTGTCCAAATTTTTGTTGTATTATTCTTAACGGTTTTTCATAGCATTTGTGAGGTTATTTCCTCGAGCTGCGCCTCGTTGCGGGCAGTTTTTTTTTAAAGTAATCAATTTTTTGTTTTATTTATTTGTTTTTTTTGGCTTGCGGCCAAAAACACGCCCCATTTGCATTAGTTTACCCAAATTGGTAACAAAAATAGATGTGTGTGTGTGTTTTTAAACATTTACTGCTCATCCTCGGGCGATATTTTGGCCAGAGTCAGCAGGATCATGGTCAGCTCCTTGCGCGAGATTTTGCCATGCTTATCATGGCCAACGCCGCGCATGATTGTCTCCTCGAAGGCAGCCAAATCCTGGGCATCATAGTCGTCCTGTGGATGAACCTATAGAATGCGTCCTGCGCTATCAGCACTCGGCACTTACCTTCTTGACCAGCTCGAGCAGATCCTTGAGGAAGCCCTTCAACTCCTCATTCTCAATGGTGCCGCTGTTGTCCTGTGTTATTTTAATACACTCTTAATATTTTTGAATCTTATATGCGCTGAACTCTGTAAACTTACACGATCGTATAGCGAGAATACTTTCTCAATGTCCTCCTTGGTCAGCTTGGTAGCGCCCTGGTTTAGGCAATAAAAGAAAGAGCATATGAAAGTCTGGTTGAAGTGTCTGGCAAATCATATTTCCGTATCATATGTACACTTTTCACACTCGGCTGGGTTATTTATTTTTCATGTCAACTGGCATATGGTATTGGTATTTGGTATTCTAGTCTACATGTGTTTGTGTATGTTTCGCATGTGTGTGTGTGTGTGTGTGTATGTGTGCTTGCTTATATTATTATTATTTACAGTTCATGCAAAAACATTTATTTTCCCGCTTCCAACTTTTTTTATTACGCATGCGGCCAGTGTTTGTCTATGGAAATTCAAACCACACTCGCACACCCAAAAGCACACACACATATACTCTCACACATATGGGCTGCTCGCTTGCATGCAAATCAATTTTCATTTACATTTCTCATATATGTTTGCATTGACTCAATCCCTGGATTCATATTCCATCCAATTTGTGCATAATTATTTGCAGGCTCCGGAAAAAAACGTAGCACATCCCCAAAGGGCATCTAAATAGGACAAGCTCCAAAGAAACAGCAGCTTTGCTCTGAAATGTATGCTTCACTTTTTTGTTATTTGTGTTTAGCCTTGAGATGGGCATTTGTTCGATATTTTTGTTAGCCAAGGGGCAGGACACGAAAATGAGGCACACACGACACGATTGATTCAAGTTGATCAGAAAAAAGGATTTTTATAATATTCAAAACTATTTTATAAAGTTTGGAAACAAATGTTTCTGCTTCCAATTATTTTAAGCGCTTCTTACTTATAGGACATGATATTCTCAACGGTCACCTTTTGGCTGTTGCCTATTTTAAAGCAGCTTGTTCTACTTAATACTCAGTTTTGGGCCAAAGGCACCCCAACTTATGAGAGAATCAACATGTATTCACATGGGCTAACTAATTCCCAATATCTCCCCAATAACAATACTTAATATTTCTAGCCTGCGGGGGTCACACCTCCTTTTAAGCAAACGTAATAATAAATTAAATACCAACATCTTCTCGCTTGCCTCAATTTCCTACTTAAATTTACCACATCAATTTGAGAGGAATATTGATTTACATTTTTCGAATTAAGCTCAATTCAGTGCCAGAAATCTCTTCATTTACTTTCATTCTACGATTATTTCGTTTTCAATCAATTCGGTCAATTTATCGCTTTATATTTATCGCATTTAGTCATTATCCCTTTCTCAACACTGACACAAGCGATTTGCTTTGCTCGTTTCATGCTAGAAAAATACTCGACGCACACATCTCTAATGCGTAAGGCGTCTTGCTATATTGCCAGAGATTGCAGGCTTATTCGTATTATAACGAATGACTTAATTAAGCTGACTTGTATTGTACTTGTACTCGACTTTCCTCTCGGCTGCGCCCTAGCCTTAATATTTTGGCAATTTGGTTTGTGCGCTTGACATTCGGTAATTAATATGCATTAAGGTAAATTGCGAGTTTTCTGTGGCTGTTTATACCCTGCACACAAATGACTAAAGCAGGCTGTAATAGTTTAGGGCAGCTGTATGTTACAAGGCAGAAGACTGATTCGAACTTATAAAGTATATGCATATATATGTATACTTAAATAGCTGGAGATTAGAAATATCTATATCATAATTTTGCTATTGAGTTTTCTCTTTGACAAACCTCCCTATTTCCATCGATAGGTACAGATTTTAAACAAGCTTACAACCGAAATCAGAAGTTATATCTTGTGGCGTACAAAGAAAATTCGAATGTATGGATAAAGGGTATCTACAAGTCTTTCAATCTTGACTGCAGTACTCTGGATGCTTCGCTCTAGCCTTATGACTAAATAACTGTAGCATACATTTCAGCGCGCACATTTACAGCTTTCTATATATGTATGTGTGCGTATGATTGTGTTAATGTATAGAGCGAGATGAACGTTTTGTATGCTACAAGCGCCAGTTAGATTTATTGATTCCACATCCTGTCTCACACACACACGGAGGCACACACATGCCTGCACCTTGTTTCGGCTGCTTGTGGTTATGCAAGCAGCACATGCAGGCGCAGCAGGGCGCCAGAGGGGAATACAAAAGGCAGGCAGCGAATAGCTAACCATTCAAGTTCAAAGCCGCTGCAGGTGTAACATGGCCCAAAACCAAAATGGTAACGGCTCAAATTTAGCTAGCCAACAATTTGTAACACGTCTGTGTGCATGTGTGTGTGTGTGTGTGTGGTCGTGTGTCCCTGAGTGAGTGTGTGTCTGTGTTTGTGTGGTGTCCCTAAGGACTGATAACATTTATTTTATTTAGACTTGTAAGCTGCTTTATAAACGATGCGTACGACAAAAGGCATTTTGTTCTTTTTTTCTGATACCCTATAGTTTTAAAAGGACATAGAAAGGGTATGTAACTGCGTAAAGAAATGCTTTTACTTTTATTTTTAGTTCGAATAGCAAGCATATTATACACAGTTCAACATATAAACTCGTACATAAATCATTTTTTTTTATTTTAGATAATTTTTAAGCGTAAGAGATTTGCTCATAAAACAGGATTT